TAAAATCGTTTCAAGGGAAGCAGTTTTTGTTTAATTTTTTAAAATTATGTATCACTATTCTTATTTGGATGGACACACAAGTTAAGAATATTTTAGAGAGTCCTCTCAGTATATTAAATGTTTGCTTAGCCATGAAGACTTAATTGTCTAATAGAGGAGACTAATTTTTTCAAAAAAATTAGTTAGGAAAATCTTTCATTAATCAGTTGTGTGTATTTAGTTTTGTGTTACAGTCATTCAGGCATCAGAGCTTAGACTGTCCATGTGTCCTTTATCAGCATTTTCAAGGTTGGGACTCAGAAATGGTTGCCTACTCAAAACACCAAGAGAGACACGTGCACCCCTCTCCTGATCTCTTATATCTTTCCAATTTCTATCTCACTTAACAAACATTGCCCAAACTCTTTACGCAGTTTTACTCTACATTGTAGTTATCGAGTGCAGGCCACCTCACCAAGAAATTATGTAATATGGCCATTATTATCTCTCATTTCTTTGACCCTTTAATGCTGTCTAGTTCATATAGTTTGGGACATAAGAGAAGGCTTAGAAGGGTTGTTCAGTCTTTGACCAAATAACTTGGAGCCCCCACCTCATCTAATAATTTTTGTACTTGAATTTGGGAAATCTTGAGCTAGTTTCATCCTCGGAGATTTTTATAAAAACTAGGTTTTACCAGACAAACTATGCAAGTGCTGAACTCTAAATATCTCAATTACTGTACTAGATTTTCATTGCCAAAGCAACTTTTTTCTCAAGGTAAAGAGAATTCCAGGATGTCAAATTACCATTATCAGTGGTGACTGTTCCTATGAGACAAGAACTGCACTTGCTGTGTTTTGATTCACCAAGATACAGAATGAAGAATATATCAGTCCTATTAAGTGACAATGGAGAAAATGACTATTGCTGAAGAGCATTGTGAGACCTTTTCCTGATGGTTTATTAGATTAAGATGATCAGTAGCTGTAAACAGCTGCAACCCTCCATGTACATGTGCAAGACACATGGTTAACAAAGCATTTTATGGTTATCAAAACACCACCACTTAAGTGATGGCAAGCTAGTTGACTCACTGTATTGTTCTTTGCATATTTTTTTTAAAAAATGCATGACAAATGTTAAAAGCATCATAGAGTTATGACTTGTTGATATTCTAAGGTAATTATAACACAATATATATTAAAAATTCAAAATTGGAGGTTTATTGGAATAAAACAAGTTAGCATTTAAATCTTAGTTCATAGTTTTTGTATGATTCATTAGCCAACTACAGTACTACATATAACATCTCTTTAATACAGAAAAAGAGGTGGAAGTATATGGCTAGCTATGCTATCAGTTTGTAAAAGCCATCTTGATGGACACTGGCTTCCCAGAGTCTAGTGAATTGAGTGCCACTGAATGCACAACAGACTGAAAATGAACTTCTGAATTTCAGCCTGACGGAGACCAATAAAATGCAGAAGCAGCTTGGTATGAAGACATTCCAAGAGACACATTTTTCTCCTCCTCACCAAAGACCATTAGAATTGGTGAACTCTCCTGTGCTGATCCACTGTAACTCAACTGTCTTAGGATGTGTCTGCTAGACTGAAGTGTAGACAAGATTCTGGCATTTTTACTACCATATCTTCTGCCCCTACTCAGAGCAGGGTCAGGAACAACTCAGTAGTAAAATGCCTGAGTTTTGTCTACATTTCAAAATCTGTCAGTGCAACAACTGGGAATGTCAAGTCTGAAAAATCCTTGCGTTGAGATGGCCTGAAGGTGCACCCTTTTGTGGTGCAAAGCAGTCCTAAACCAGATATCTTCCACACACTGACCAGAAGTCTGTTCTTCTAGAATCTTGATCCAAAGTATAGTGACTTCCAGATTGTTTATGTTTCTGTAGAGTGTGGAGTCTGAACAGCATATTTTCTAGGGGTTCTTGCATATGTGGGCCAACATCAAAAAAGCTAATTTGGTCAATCATAGCATGACTTTATAAAATTTTTGTCCAGTACCATGATTGCATATTTGTTAGCTAATAGTTTTGCTGGCAAGTGACAGGCTTAGCAGCTTTAAAAAAAAAAAGAAATACCTTTGTCTTAACTGGAATCAAAGTACAGGGAGCCACTTATATAGCAGTACTTTATTTTGTAAAGTACGGATTGTGTTCATGAGTGGGTACATAATGTGAGGAGTTTCTTGGCACTCCTGCCTATTGTCTTAATTTTTGTGTGTGTACAAGTTTACACAAATAGCCGAACACGGGAAGGGAACCAGGAACTCCTGCTTTCTAATTCTGTCCCTGACTCTGATGCTGACTTCCACTCTGGCCCTTGACATTTCCTTATCTTCACTGTTTTAGTCTCCCATCTTAAAAATTAGGATAGTACCTATGTCATTGGTATGTTTGGAGGACTAATTTAGACTTTGACAAGTGCTTTGAAATGCTACCGAAATGCTAAGTATTGTTTAATACATAACCCTCCAATCCCTGAATCATCCCATGCTAAGAAATGATGGCTAGCCCAACATTCAGGAAAATGGGCCCTTCTTTGTTAGACCGGATCCATAGTCACATATGGTGGCAGACTATATCTAAAGGGCCATTATGCTACAGTTACAGCCATGTTGGGAATCCAGTTCCAACACAGTTGTCCCCTTTTTAATTACTGCGAAAGCTTTGGTCAAGCATAAGGTCCCATGCTCTGTTTTTATCAACTTGTAACATACCTAGAAAAAGTAAGACTATATGCAGATATGCCCAAAATCCACTTATCGCAATACCAATCTTTTCTAAGTATTATTTTCCTACATATACTAGGCTTCAGATGTTTTGGGAACATAGTGTCTTCGCTACTATAGAGTGGAATAATGTTATAATCATGACAGAAGACAATTTATAATTCAACCAGGTAGTGTAGTGTAATTGGCTTTAGTTACTCTCCTTGTTTAAACATACTACCGTTCCATCTGGTATAGAATTTTTTAGACTGTTACAGGGAATATCCCCACAACATGTACATCAGAATCTTTGACAACTAATGATAATATAATAACGAATAATACTGCACCCAGATACCATGGTGATGGATACCTTAAACACTTTATTACTGCATAATTTATAATCTTAAAACTGATTTACAAAAATTCATCCGAATGGGTTGGAAGTAGGTAAGGACTGTAGGACTAAGTATTATCACTTCTATTTTCCAGATGGGAAAATTGAAGGAAAGAGGTTAAGGGTCAGATTTTGAAAGCAGGCCCATTTGTTAAGGGCTGTCCTTTAGGTATCTGGGGCATGATTCCTCCTCTTCCTCCCCCCCCCCCCCCCCCCCCCCCCCCGAGGTGCTGAACACCCACCTCTATCATTTATTGATTCATTTGCAGTTTTGGCTGTTCAATAATTGTGAAGGTTAGGCCTATAGTGTCTAAATTTGGGAACCCAAAATTAGTGGCTAGTTTTAAAATTTGGCAGTCCTACCCCAGGTTGTAAAGAGAGTCAGTATCAGAGCTGGGAGTAGAATTTGGTGCAGTAGAACCTCCGAGTTATGAACACCAGAGTTACAAACTGACCAGTCAACCACACACCTTATTTGGAACTGGAAGTACACAATCAAGCAGCAGCAGAGACAAAACAAATAAGCAAATACAGTACAGTGTTAAATATAAACTACTACTACAAAAAAAGGAAAGCAGCATTTTTCTTCTTCGTAGCAAAGTTTCAAAGCTGTACTAAGTCAGTGTTCAGTTGTAAACTTTTGAAAGAACCACCTTAATGATTTGTTCAGAGTTACAAACATTTCACAGTTACGAACGGTCTCCATTCCTGAGGTGTTCATAACTCTCAGGTTTTACTGTAACTCTTAGCTCTCAGTCCTGTGCTGTCACCCCTTTCAATCACATTTGTTCTCTAGATCGTATTGTCTTTCTTAATGATGTTTTGCAAACATTCCCTGAACTAGGAATCCTAGAATTGGCATTCTTACTGTTAGAAACTAAATTTTCTATTGAGGGTGGCTTTTTTTTTTTTTTTTTTTTTTTTTTTTTTTTTT